GGGCTCTGATGTGCCATACTTCCCTTTGCACTCTCACGTGGGATTTCGATGTTTTAAACCCTGCTTTTRTAGCTGCAGTATTTTGATAGGATTTTCACCTACTGCTAAATCCATACTGAATCTGAGACTTTCCCTCACTGGATGTCTGATGTTCCTAAGTAGCCAGGCAAGCTGTACACCTGGCARTGTGTTATTTTCTCTTCCCCACAGAGGATATTTCTTGCTGCAAGGGTTTGCTGTCTCTGCTCTTCAGTGTCCACGTTCTCTACAAGAGCCCTGTGGGTCTCCTGCGGGAGCTGGCACAAGACATCCACGCCTGCCTGGGGGACATAGATCAGGTACGGTGCAGGAGCAGCTGAGCTCTTCATCACAGAACCCATTTCACCAGAATYTGCTTTCTGTCCTCTTCCCAGGACATAGAAGTGGAGGGTCGGTGCCATTTCGCCGTGGTGAATGCCAAGACTGCAGCCCCCACTGTCTGTGTGAGTCAGAGCAATGTGGCACCTGCAGTGGCCAGGAGCAGCTTGCAGCTTCCCGTGGTGCCAAAATCCCTCCAAAAAAMCTGTTTTGTTATTGGTGTTTCTGTCTCAGCTGCTGGTTCTGGGTCAGGTGGATAARGTCCTTGAAGAGGTGGATTGGCTGATCAAGAAACTCACCAGTTTGGGGTCAGACATAKCAGGTAATGAAAGTGGTCCGGTTCTTACTGTTACAGCTCTGTCAAAAACAGAACAGAGAGCACAAAGATATTTGAGGATTCTGAAATAGCATTGTCTGAGGGCAGTTAAACTCTCCCTTGAGCCAGTTCCACATGAACAATTTAAGAGAAGAGTATTKTCACAAAATCCCTCCAGTGATTATTTTCCCCTTGCCCCACTGGGGCTTTATGCATCAGACACAAAGATGATCTTTTGTGCCTCCCACCTGCACAACTGGATTCATTCACCAGATATTCATCTCTTTCTTCTAGAAGACTCCTCTCAGGCATCAAACCAAACTCAGGCTCTGGAGAAAGGTGTAATCCTGCAGCTGGGAACYCTGCTGACAGCCTACCACGAGCTGGTGCAGACTGCACTCCCGGCAGGGAGCTGTGTGGACACACTGCTGAGAAGCCTCAGCAAGACATACGCAATTCTCACCTCCCTCATCAAACACGTGAGTGTGCTCTGCTGACAGTGGGCTGCCTCTGAGCTAAAAACCTTCTCCCCATCTGCTGCAGCAAGCTCACAGTGACCCCTGGCAGCAGCGACGCTCAGGACTGAGCTGTTGATCTCCTGCAGGAGTTGAGCCCTCGCTGTGCTGGCTTTCATGCCCTCAATTTCGTGACCTTTCTGAGCAGTGATAGCTGTACCAGTGGAGATAAAAGGAACGCTTCTCTCCAGCTGAATTTGGCTTTGCAGGGCTGGGAGTTGTTTGCAGCGTGGGTTCCTGTGCACAGCTGTGTGTGCAGTGAAGGGCGTTCAGTGCTCTCACAGTGCTCACCAGTCCTGCCCTGGCCACCCATTCCCATTCCCATTCCCATTCCCATTCCCATTCCCATTCCCATTCCCATTCCCTGAAGCAGGACTTGGGGAACAGGGACATGAAACACAGGCCTGTGGAGCTCCCCAGAGACAAGGTGGAGAGCTCTGGAATGCAGGCACAGCATTTGGGATATAGCAAGGTACTGGGGAGGATGGTTCTTGCAAATCCTGCCCTCCCCGCTGTGCCGTTGTATGAGCTGCTCTGAGCACACAGGATGGGAACAGCACAGCCAGAAGAAACYCCTGTTTTCCTTGCAGTATATCCAGGCTTGCCGCAGCACCTCAAACACCATCCCAGGGAGACTGGAAAAGCTGGTGAGTGTGAGCAAACAGCCGGGGAAATGGCTCATTGCCTCGAGTCAGGAGTAACACCAGCCTTTCTCTCTCTGCTCCTTTGCAGGTGAAGCTCTCAGGTTCCCATCTGACCCCACAGTGTTACTCATTCATTACTTACGTACAGGTAAGGCCTAAATGAAGTGGCAGAATCACAGTCAGTCTATCTGATGCTGAGTGGTGTATCAGCTTCAGTACACGGGCACCCTCGGGGATTATTAATCTTCCTGACATGACCTCAGTTTCTTACAGTTCAAGCTTTACTTTGTCAAATACAGTGTAAAACATTTCAGCACCGTTGGGACTGAGCGTGGTGGTTTCTGCTTGAGCAGGGAAGGAGCTGGGTTTTAGCTGGTTTTTTTTTTTTCCCCTCCCTACATGTGGGGTTTTTCGGATGAGATTAATACTGCTGTTAACCACAATGGCAAATAAAGGTCAACAACACTGCAGTCATCACAGTGTGAAGTCATTGGGTGCCAAAGACTGCAGTGCTGAAGCTGGGATTTATCTGCCTGGAGAGGGACTGGGTACCTGTGTGAGGACCACAGGAATTGTACAACATGTTGGGGAAGGTCTGCAGAGCTGGGGACTTCTCACACATGCACATTTCTGAGTGTATGAATTAAGAAATTAGTATTTCTTCCCTTATTTTTTTGAGATCACCTCAAATTCCATCCTTGTGTCATTATCTTTCTGTTGCCTAGCTGGTAATGCTGTTAGCTGGCCAGAGCAAGGATTCCTCTGGCCTTTCTTGGCTGGCCTTTCTTCCCTGCTTACCCTCTAATGACACATCTTTTGGCATCCTYCTTCAGAACATCCACAGTGAGAGCTTAGTCTTTGTAGAAGAGAAGAAAAAGAAGAAGAAAGAGGATGAAGCTGCTGCAGTCTCCACAGTCATGGTAGGACTGACTCCCTCCATTAGAACATGGGCTGTAGTTGCAGGATCACATCTCGAGGCTTGTGGTACCTGATGGCACCTTACAGATCACCAGACAAATKGTCATTTGGGCCTTTAAGTAAAAATCAAATTTAATCTACTGTAACTTCAGAGAAAAGTCTAAAAACCCACAAACAAACAAAATATAACCAAAAAAAAAACACAACAGAAAAGCCATCTTCGCTAAATGCAGCTTAAAATCTCATAGAATGTGAAACAAAGGTCAATCTGAACAGTTTCCCTGGTCTGATATTTTTACCATTTGGGGTAAGGTATGAAATTACAGATATGGGCTAATTTATTGGAACCAATAGTGCATTCTCTTTAAGTGTTTTTTTAATTTTATCAGTACATTTAAAGATGAAGGAAGGAATGGATTCCACTAAAGTGAGGCAGTTGAAAATGACTGGATTATTTGTTTGGGAGCAAGTGAGCAGGCTGGCAGATTCCTGGTCCTTGATATCCTTTGTTTGTGCTCCAGACAGCATTTCCTCCGTCTCGTCAGCTGTCCCAGACATTCCTGKGATGTTAAGGGTTTAAAAGCCACAAGCATGTATGGAAACAGGCTGAAATGCTGCTTGTCCTTCCCCACTCTGTCACCATGGGGAACCAACACCAGTGGTGGCAAATGAGGAGGACAAAATGTGGTGAAACATCAGGGTGCTCCTGTGATGCCTTGGGAGAGCTGGAGCAGAGGAGCTGCTGCTCTGAAGGCTGACAGGGATAWCAGGGCTGGAGGCAGAGCACAAAACAGTGCATGGCAGAATCATYCTGGGAGTCAATTTAAAACCAGTAACAAAGCTTGCTAGGGCAGGGCTGGTACAGAGCCAGGCTGCTGAAGATCCTTCTCTAAACTGGGAATGTTGTGGTCTTCATGCCATGCTGTCACAGTGCCAGCGTGCCCTTCCAAATCTGAGCCATCTCACTCCTCTCTGCATTTCAGGCCAAGGTGCTTCGGGAGACCAAGCCAATCCCAAACCTGATTTTTGCAATTGAGCAATATGAGAAGTTCCTTATCCATCTCTCCAAGAAGTCGAAGGTAAAGTGGAGCAGAGCTCTTCYGTGGCCTGAACCTGGTGGAACAGTGGGACCAGTGGCATGGTGGAGGGCTGTTATTGAAGTCTATTAATGCTCAAATTAGGAATGTGTAAGGACCTTTCAGCCCTTTCCCTTGCTCCTGGCTCAACACTGCTGAATTGTTGCCCCATTGATGCCAGCCCATATCCACATCAGTCCTGCCTGTRACCTGTGGTTTCTGGTGGAGCAGGAACATTCACGCTTTGTGCCAGCTTTCCTYGCTCTCCCCCAGTCTGTGTTGTTAAATGTACCACAGTAAGGTCCTACACGAGAGTAACTGGCAATCTCTGGACTTTTAGGAAAATGTAAATGGGACTGTGCAAGGGGGGGGCGGTGCTTTTCCACCCACTTTGTGCTTCAGYCCTGCATTATTACTGTGATGGACTYRRTCCCAGTGCTGTGCAGAGGACCAGGCAGGGTRAAAAACTCAACTAAGACGCTCATGGCTGAATGTTTGCCCTGCCTGGTGTCCCCCTGGTCGCTGCAGGTGAACCTGATGCAGTACATGAAGTTAAGCACCTCTCGAGATTTCCGCATCAACGCGTCCGTGCTGGACAGTGCCCTGCAGGAGCGCAACACGGAGGATGCTGAGAACGAGCCATGCAATGACCAGGTCAGAATTACTTTAGCTTGCACTGATAGGTTTTTCTCCTCTTTAGAAACCAGTTTCACTCATAGGTTTTTCTCCTCTTTAGAAGCCAGCTGTATTTGTGAGTTGTGCAGGGGTGTGTGAAGTTAGGACAGCTTGTCTTCCCTGGGTTAGCTCTCACCTGGGACAGGAGTGAACAGTTCCTCTGATCAACACCCCCTACACCACAGCCCTCTGCCTTTAATTCCATGCATCACCTCTCTGTTCCTGGTCCTAGCAAAGTGAAAATATTCTTAAGGCCTTGCTCTTTGCCTCAGCAAGCAGAGAGGTCTCTGAGCCTTAGATCTGAACCCCACTGCTCGTCCAGGATCAGACTCTGGCAGCACAGTGCAAAGTGGTTTTGCGTGCAGGTTTTTGTAGATAAAGACCTGGCAGGACAAACTCTGCGAGGCATCATCCTCCTCAGACCCATCTCTACTAGAGAGTGCTAGTGAAGAAAACCAGCAACCTGTGTTGGCTAAGAAAAATAAGCAATTTACACTGCTGATTGTCCAGGTTTTTATTGGTGCTTCTGTCCATATTTTCCTGAGTGCTTCAACAAGCCTAAAAAAACCCAGGACAGAGTCCCTGTTCTGTGCCACTGGTAGCCTGTGGTATAAATTCCAGCATGAATTGGGGAAGGGGTAGTCCAAGGGGAAAGTCTCAGTGGCTGACAGGAGTCCCATATTCAGGTCATTTTGTTAGGGAGGAAAAACGACCTAAACCCCCGTTCTGCACACCTGCATCTTGCTCTAGGTAAGCATTCCTTAGCCTACTCACACAAAAACAATCACACTGCACTGCTGYTCTCTCCCTGCCCTCTCCAGAGCAGCACAGCGGAGCAGAGGGATGAGAACCAGGAACCCAAAAAGAAGAGACAGAGAAAAAAATAAACCAGGGGTGCTGCTGCTGCCTCCTCACAGAGCCTGTTCCACAGTGGACTCGCCTTGGTCTCAGAGGCTGCAGATATGGAGATGATGGTTTATTGCTTCTCTTGCCAAATACTTTGGACTTCTTCCTTTGTGTCCACAGGAGCAATTYTGGCTCCTGTCTCAGGTTTTGCAGCTGGCTGCTGCCATCACAAGTGCCTCTGCTCTTCGAATGTGCTGCTAGAAACATCTTCCCCAGGAGCATCCCTTCTTACAGCAGAAGGGAAAGGGAGTGACTGGGATCAGTCCTTGCCAAAAGATCTGCTTCTGAAAGGACACTGAGGCTTTGTTACACGGTCTGGACAGTTGTCCTGGCACTCTGGTGTCGTCATTTCTTCTCCAGCGAACCTTTGGTTATTTCAATTATCTGATAGATATCCAGAGCTTCCCCTGGAAAATAAAGGGACAGTCAGTTCCCTGCAGTACACCCAGACTGTGCCAYGTGAGAGTGGCTGGGATTTGCTTTAGTTCAGAGCACGTATCACAGAAAGCTCTAAATTTACTCAAATTTTGGGTGGTGGTGAGAAGGAACCAGCACCAGCAGGAAGCTGGGAACAGGAGCTGTTCCACCTTGGAGCTGCTGTGTGCAGCTCCTGAGCAGCTTCCTCTGCCCMTGTTTTGCACGTTTTTGCTGTTATGTTTTTTCTGTCCCTCGTGTTTGTGATGCACTTGTTTAATTTGACTTGTTCTGAGTGAAAAGTTCCCTTTTTGCCTACAGAGCACAAATCCTGTTTCTGAAAGGACCCGTTTGCCTTGTAAGACTCCTAATAAAGGTTTCTTAAGGGTGGAGCATCTGATGTGTGCAGTGGCTGAGAGAACAAATCCGAGGGCAGGTTCTTCCCTTCCCTGGGGAAGAGCTGCTTTCCCAGGCACGAGTTAAATGTTTGCTTGCAGATATTAGAGGGTTACATGGARAGCAGACAGGGATGACTTGGGGCTGCTGAGGAAGCACTCAGCAATGCCAAAGCAGTTCTCTGAATAGAGCTGGGCTAAGGCAGAGCAAGGAAGGAGGGAAGGATGGAAAAGTTTGGGTCTGCAGGGAAAAATAGGCAAGGTTGTTGAGATGTCTCCTTTCAGAGAAGGAGAAATTAAATTTAGGTTGTGTTAGAAGTGCAACAGGAGGGCTCCTCCAAGGGGCACATGGGAGAACAGAGCCAGGCCTGGCTCCTCACTGTCACAGATACTTGGAAGCAGCAGCACAAACTGCTGGAGGACTGAGGAAAGAGGGGCAGGCTCCAGCAGGGACGGATGATGGGTCAGGAACCAAGGGGCTCAGAGGTGCCTCAGGCAAACAGAGGAGCCCTCAGTGCTCTGCCTAAGCTGGGGAGGCTCATGYAGAGCTCACAGGGAYGCTGCTCACCTTGAGGGATGCCATATTTCTCCATCCCCGTGGGGTTTGACGGTGTCACACAGTTCATGGTCACCTCTTTCCTCAAACACTGGTCAATGTCCACTGCACTGAAGAAAGCCACTGACTGTGGCAGATCCTGGAGGCCCAGTTTGTAGGCAAACATGCACCTGGAGGATGAGAGCGGGTGGGATGGTGCTGGACATCACCCTTGGCGGGGTCACAGTTCCCATCAGCCTCATTTCCCAAACACTGGCCAGCCCTTACACCCCTCACAGGTTAYTCTGCACCCACATCACTCAGCTGGCGGGGGACAAGGTGCTCTCTAAGTCCWGGGTAGCAGGAGGGTCAAGGATTGCTAAAGTGGGCATGGGAGGGACAGGAATGGTGCCTCCTCCTCGGTAATGGAGCTTCCTCRGGAGAAGGGAAGAATCCAGCCCCTCACTGCTGCCTAATCCTCCCTGGCAGGCAGAGCAGATGCAGGATTTTCCCAGCAGGAAGCCCTGTGCTCGCAGGAGCCTGCACAAAGGCAGSAACTTCAGGGTGCCTGTCCCTGCTGTGGCTGCAGAAAGGCTGTTTGTGATATTCCTAAAAAACAGCTCACCTTGGCCACTCCCTGTCACCAAATAYCCCACGGTGCTGGAAAGGCAGCTTGGCAAATGGGATCCCTTTGAGRTCAGGAGCTTTCCAGGCTGAGAGTAGTTTTGTGTGGGGCAGGGAAGCAGAATTAACACGGCACACTGGTGCTCACAGCAGAGACGAGCTGTGCCCCTTGCTGTCCCCTGAAGGCAGCAGGGGATGAGGGGTGGGACAGTCTCAGGCTCCCAGCTGCTCAAAACCCAAAAGCTGCTGCCCTGCAATAGCTCCCAGTGTGAAGGGATCAGGAGGTGATACACTCCCCATCCCTGCAGGAGCCAAAAGCTGATGATATCCCCCTCTTGCCAGCACATTATCCCAAAAAATCAAACCCGAGGCCCATTTATAGCCACCTGAGTCACACATGAAGAACTGCAGCCTCCAGTGCTGCTAACTTGCCCTGAGCAGAAGAAATCCACTCTGCAGCAGCTTGCTGCAGGCAAAGCCAACCCCAGCCCCTGTCCCTGCTCCTCCCCAGCAGACTGCAGAGCCCTCGAGTCTCACCTTGTGAGCAGGTTGGTGATCTGCAGGGCCAGGGCTGCCCGGTAGCGGTCCTGCTGCTGGACCAGGTAGCGYACCTCGTCGTGGATGCTGATGCAGAAGCGCCCGTTGATGTCAAACTCCTCAAAGAGCCACTTCATGGCAACCAGCATGAGGTGCAGGTAGTCCACAGCTGAGCTCTGCACCACCCAGTTCACTCTGCTGGTCACAAACTGGTRGAAGGAAACACGGGTGGGCAATAAGAGCACTGCAGTACACCATGGTAGCCATGCAGGACAGCTCCTGGCACAAAGCTGTTGAACTCAGGCTGGCTGGGTTTTGATGGCATGGAGATAAAGGCACAGTGGGTTTGCTGAATGCCTACAGAAGACTACTGGAGATGAAAAAAGCCAAAATCTCAGCAGCCCAGAGCTGCATCCTTACCTCCCCCTTGACCATGGCGGGTTCCAGGGCCCTGCTGATGTGACAGCCCAGCACTGGGGTCTGTGGGGAGGGGGATAAGGCGATGCTTTCCAGCTTGTTGAACATCTCAGATTCAGTGCCTCCAGCCCACACTCGGTGCTCCACCAGATTCCACTTCTTCCCCTTCCGGGACCTGCAGGGCAGAGGGGAGGYTTGCTGGAAGTGTGGGATGGGGCTGCAGGTGCCCATGTGAGAGCCTCAAACTCTCCCTCCTGGTTTGGGGCAGCAGGACGARACCCTAATTGCTCACTGGGACAGTGGGTGAGCCTAAGAGACCACAGATCAAACCTCCTCAGCCCTGGGGGAGCAGGAAGGGTGGACCAAGACTATCCAGCCCCATCTCCCTTCTCTGCCCGCTGCCCATYGGGCTCTCCACCTCCCATCCCAATCCCACAGGGTCAGACCATCTCACTTTTTCACAGCTTCTCTCTGGAGCCGCTGGACATCCTGAGCYGACACCGATCCATCCTCCGCCCTGTCCACAGCCAGCCCCAGCTGCGTCACCAGCCATTCCCCCTCCTCGGAGAGATGAAACCTGCAGGGCAGAGCGAGTGACCCAGCTGCCGTGGGACAGTGCCACCCCTGTCCCCGCTGTCCCCGGGCAGCACCCACCTGCGGATGCCCTTGGTGACGGCGTACATCTGCTGGGCCTTCTCTCGTGCCTGCTGCTGCGTCAGCCGGTGGTTGAACTGCATCAGGAGCCGCTCAGCAAAGGGCTGCCCCGCCCCGTAAATGCGCCCATAGTTGAAAATCTTGGCGTGCTCGCGGCTGATGCCCACGGTRGCGGCTGTCTTGCTGTGCAGGTCCGTGGCGTTGCTCTTCTTGCCCTGCAGAGTCATCCAGCCGAAGGCGGTGCAGCCTGGGGGAGGGGGGTGGAGGTTGGACACGGAATGGGGTCGGGATCAGGATCAGGGAATCCCCTCCCTGCCCCACAGAGCCGTTCCCCACACTCAGCCCCGGCTCACCGTGCATGCCGGCGAACTGYGCCTCGCCCAGCACGGCGGCGATCCAGAGCTCCTGAGAATCCACGTCTGCTCCCACCAGAGAGTAGCCTGGTGGCACCTGCACCATGGCCTTCAGCTCACTGCCCACCCTGTCGGCCTGCAGGACACGATGCCCAGCTCAGCACATCCCTCTCATCCTCCACAGCAGCATTCCTCCCACAGCCACTGTGCTGTCAGCACTCCCTGTGCCCCTAAGTTGTGCTCTCAATGTCAAAACCAGGTTTAAAATGTCGAGCATCACCCAATTGGTTATTCCAGCACAGAAGGGGAGTTTGAGAAAGGACAAAAACTAGTACTTTTTCCCATTTCACCAAATTCTGAATCTCCAGAGGTTCTGCTGACTCCTTCCCCTCTCCCCCTCAAAGCATATCAGCAAGAGGATCCCAGCCCTAGACCCGCCACCTCAAATCCACATTCCAACCCAGCTAGCTCCCATCAATCCAAAACACAGAGTTAGACCCAAAACACCCCCAGCAAGGATCCAGGCATGGCCATACCCGGGCGTTGCTGGCYGTCAGCCAGGTGGGCTCCACCGCCCGGCGGGTGACAGTGCCCGCSGTCACCACCTGCGGCAGGATGGCCCCGTAAATGTCCTCCTCGTTATAGTCAGGGTGCCTGGGACAGARGGGAGCATGAGCATCATCCTGCAAGAGCCCTCCTGGCACGGGGTAAAGGGAACAGCAGCCCAGATTTGGGTCCTTCCGCCCCGTACCTGGTCACCACGCGAGGCAGCTCCCCTTTCTTCAGCCACACCACCATCTGGGAACTTGGGGGACACAGGAAAGGAGATGCTGAGCACCCTGTGCACCCACACAAACTCCCCTGTCCCTCCACCCACAGGGGTGCTGCTCACCTGATGCGCTTGTGAGCGTTCCTCCAAAACGAGATCATTTTGTTGATCTCCAGGGCTCTGGTCCCGTGGGTGCGGCCCACAGCAGCCCGCAGGGTGCCATCCTCCATCTGGGGCAGGAAATCCTTGGCAAAAGGGCTTCCCACGTTGTTGTCGTTCCCATCCTTCAGCAGCAAAAGAGGTGTCAGGGCTCAGCGAGCCACCACTGCACATCAGTGAAGCTCTGTGCATSCTCCTGGCCCAGCTGCAGGGATGGATTCCCACTGCCCAATCCCACAGGATGAGACTGTGTGGGTCCCAGCAGCACTGAGGGGACAGGAAGAGCCCCAGGAACCCCAACTTGCCTTGTGAGGCAGCTTGAAGAACCAGCAGCCAGGGATGTTGACATCGTTGTAGGGACCATTGCCATGGTGGTATGAGGGCTGGCTCCTCATCTCTGCCCTGCTGYTCAGCTCTTCCATCTCCTCCTGCGACCAGCAAAGTGAGGCAATGCCAGAATATTTTCCGGCATGGCAGGAGGGGAAAATCGAGGAAAGAGAGACCAATCCACCACCCCATTCCACAGGAAACCCCCCTTACCAGCATCAGGCTCTGGTCTGCTCTGCTCATTTTCTCCTCTGGATCCACCTCAATCCGGCTCAGCTCCTCCACCTGCAGCAGATCAAACACCAATCCTCCAGTAACCCCAATTAAAGGGAATTTCTCACTGGCAGCACACAGGAAGAAGCACAGCCCCACACCAGGAACCCTCCATCCCTTCCTTCACCTTGTGCCACATGGTGCTGCTGTCCATCACCAGCAGCTCATCCTCTACAGCCGCCTCCAGCCCTGGGGGCTGCTCCTTGCCCTTCTCCAGGCAGTGCTGCCTGTACAGGTGCTCGATCACCCTGGAGAGGAGAGGGCAGAGCTGAGGCACCCACAAGGGGGCCCTGGGCAGGGWGCCAGGGAGCTCCCAAACACCCTCACGGGGCAGTTCCCAGCACCCCATTACACCCCTCTCACCTGTGTGGGCAAGAGGGGCCATCGGCATCCCCAGGGGCTGCTGGCAAATTGTCCTGCCGTCCTGGCACCAGGTATCCCCAGCCATGTTTCTCAGAGTAATGGAGAGGGAATCCATCCCAGGCCAGGCGCATCAGCTTTGGGGTCACCCTCATCTGCAGGCTGATGAGGCTGGGGCCAGGCACCCAGCCCTCCTCCTCCAGCCGTGGGCACAGCTTGCGGTACCAGCTGGGGAGCACCAGGGATGGGTCAGAGAGCTCAGGGCAAGCCCTGGGGACACCCAGGTCCCCAACTCACCTCGGGTGGGCTGGCAGGTGCTGGAGTCTCTTGGGTTGCAGCGCGACCGTCTCCTTCAGGCGCTCCAGACAGAGCTGACTCGCAGGGGCTCTGAGCTCCTCCTCCTCACTGGGGGGACCAGGGTCTGCTGGGGCAAGGAGGACTGGCTGGCAAAGGGCACTCAGTGCCACCCTGCTGGGGACAGGGACAGCAAACCAGCCCCTGCCATGGGCCGCAGCACGGGACACAGGCCAGCAATGATTCACTATGCAGCACCAGCAAACCTGGTCCCAGTGTCAGGGAAGGCACATCCTTCCTGGATCCTCCCTGGAGCATCCCTCATCCCCAGAGCCACCTGTGCTCACCCTCCTGCCACTCCTGYGCTGACTCCTCCACATCCACTGCTCCAACTGGGGACACCTGGCCGTTCCCATCCTGACCTTTCTTCTTCTTCCCCGGATTCTTCTTTTGCTTAAACTCCTGCGTGTCCCACTCGAGATCCCAGAGCCAAGGGTCGTCCTTGTACCTGATGGCACACCATTGTCACACCACAGCTTTGCTCCTGTCCCTCAGAGCCACCCACAGCCCCCCAAGGGGTGCCTGGGCTCCTCCCAGCAGGACCTGCAGCCCCAGCCCACRGTACCTGTGCTCGTGCAGCAGCTGGCAGGCATCGTTGGCCAGGTTCATCAGGGACTTCTTCATCTCCTTCTGCAGCTCCTCATAAATACCCTGWGCATCATCCAGGTACCTCTTCCAATTCCCATTGACCGGCAGGTAGGACACTCCCATCTCCAGCATCCCTGCCAGCGTCACAGGGTGGGGGCACCTGGAGCCCAAAGCACCAAGGAATTAGGGATCTGCTGGAGGGGATTGGCCCTGGCAGCACCAGACTACAACAGGCATGAATGTGTCTTCACTCAGAGTTTCCCAGCCTCACACAACCCTTGCTGCTCTTCCCCYAAACCATAAAGATCTTCTTCTTCTGTATCTTCTGCCAGCCCTGTGCAACAACCCCAAAACTGCACCAGTCCAGACTGCCCCTGGAAACCTGGGGGCCTCCTCCAGCCACACTGTGCTGCTGTTTATTCCTGCTCAGCTACACAGGAGGGGCTGAAGGCCCTCCTGAAAAGAGGTTCAGGACACCCTAAGGCCAAGAGGAGCCACATCTCATGCCCAGAGAGACTGTGACCCTCCCCAGTGCCCACCAAACCCACAGCCCTTTGTCCAACAGCAGCTCTCACCTCTCCATGAACAGCGGCAGCTGCTCTTGAAACACCTCGTGRGTGGCCTGGACATCACGGGCACAGTACGACATCAGGTCCTGGGGACAGCAGCAGGTGAGAGAAGGCAAAGCAGCCACCCCTGTGCCAGCACGGGGCAAGGAACCAGGGCTGGGGCAGCACAGAGCAGGGCACAGCCCCACACACACCCACAGCGGCAACAAAGGGCAGCAAAATGCAAACTACCCCAGCAAAAATGCAAACTACCCCAGCAGCTACCACCACCCTGCTGCCTGTCAGGATGGGGGGATGGCCTCCCGCACCTGAAAGTGGCTCCTGATGTCAGCCATGGTGCCCTTGACAAAGACATCCCGCGCCTCCTTCTCCAGCGGCTCTCCCCCGACGTAGAGCGCGTGCACRTCGGCCAGGTTGTTGATGCTGCTGACGTGCACCCAGTCCCACGAGGTCATCTGTGGACAACAGGGAGGTCACAGCGTGTGGGAGGAGGAGGAGGAGCTGTCCCAGGAGCACGCTGTCCCCTGCCACCCACGCCTGTGCCAGCAGCTCAGCTCCCTCGCTCACCGCCGGCCCCTCTGTCTTGCYGCGCGTTTTCCTCAGGTGCTCCTTGACCTGCTGCAGCCCTTTCCTCTTGCCGTGCTTGGCAGCCATCCACAGGCTGCGCTGGAAGCCCGTCAGCCCCGAGATGGCCATGTGCATGCTCATGGTGTCCAGGAAACGCATCTGGGAGCCCTGGGATGCAAAGGGGTGGAAAGAGAGGGTTTGGGATACGCTGGAGGAGCTGCAAGTCCTGTGCTCAAGCTGCTGTTGTTAAGGGGAACTTTGCCTCCCACAGTCCCCTTCTGAGAGCCAAAAGCATCCCCAGTGCAGGCTGTCAGCTCCAAGGCTCYTGCCACATGCCCAGCTGCCACCCTGCAGCCTCCAGCAGCCTTAGAGGGTGTGAAAATATCTTCAGCTAAAGGGATCCAAMCTCAATCTACTCTGCAGGACAAGGTGAGCACAAACCTCGGGTACCAGGACAGCATCCCTCAAAATAACCCTCAAGCCGATGCAAATTATTATCTGGGTAAGGAAATGCAGCTCTCAGTAGAAAGCAAAGGCTCAGTGCTTTACCTGGATAAGGTACTGCTCCTTGATGAAAGCCCGGTCGAAGGCCACGTTGTGTCCCACCACCACTCTCTCCTTCCAGTCCTGTTTGCCAGCACAGCTGGCACCCGCTGGGCTCTCCATGGGAATGAGATCAGCCAGGGTCAGGTGGCTGGACCAGGAGTAACGCTGCTCCAGCAGCCGCCTGCTGCACCACGAGTACCTGCGGGGGACAGGAGACACCCACAGCCGTCAGAAACCATGCACAAACAGTGCTGGGGGTGCTGAGCAGGACCCACCTGGGGAGGGAGGTGACCCACCCTGGGGAGCGCTGTGGGACACAYATCCCACATTCCAGAGCCACACTTTGGGGCTTYGCTGTGGGACACACATCCCACATTCTAGAGCCAYGCTTTGGGGCTT